CCTCATTTGCACGGGACTTCAGCTTTGTGGAAGATGCCTTCTTCTTTGGAACAGCAATTCCTCCTTTTTGTCCTCCTCAAGTGTTTTTTGGTAAGTGGTACATATTTACTTCAAACCTCCAGTGTGGTATCTTTAGTGTCTACAATGTCTGTTCTTTTGACTACTTCTCTTACTTTTTAACAAGGTTCCTTATTTTTACATAGCTACGCTCTTAAGTATAAAAGCAAGGAATAATAGCTTTTCAATCCTCTCTGCAAAGCCTAAGATCTCTGCTTTATAAGCCAGATAATGCTGACTTAAATTGTAATATGGAAAATCCATGGAGCTGGACTCCAGAAGACACGGGCTCAAAAACAACATTCTGAACCCATCAGGGAACAGAACACAGCTACTACAGTCTATGTCAGTCACGTATTCCTCAGAAAAGGTATCAGATGGAAAAATCTGGATTTTCTTTGGGTGTACAAAGCAGACAGTGGTCAGATGCTATCACGTGATTTAAAAACACAGGAGATCCAAAGACTGAGTTTTATTTGACCATCTTGAACTCAGCCTTCTCTGCCACAGTCAGAAATTGAGTATTTAGATCAAAAGAAAGTAATGCAAGAGTTAAAGTAACCTATTCACTCACTCAGTTTTAGGAGATAAACTGGTAATAACCAGCACTGGATCTAGTATTTTTTGGTTACCCCAGAAGTTTACAACCTCAAAGGGCAATTTTTGGAACAAAGGCTTCTCAACTGAGTAACTCTGGCTCATTAGTAAGAAAGTCTTCATTGACTTGTTCTCTCAAGATACAATTCTATAACCACAGTAGAATAACTAAAATCCCTCTTAATGTATTTGCAATGTAACCATAACCAAGGCCCTACATCATCGACAAGACAGATTTTACAAGGCAAAACTCAAAACAGATCTGCTAATCATTCTTTTTAGGTCCTGTGAAAGAGGCAATGGATATATTCTTTGCTTCCTTCAGAATTATGAGCTTCAATCCAACACGCCCAATACAGAAGGGCCCCATCCAATTCATCTACGTTGAAATCAAGATGAGTTTTAAAGGCAAAGAATATTTAGGGTTTTGAGTAGTAGCTGAAATATGAGAGGACTATTAACATTTTACCAAAACCTTGACAATCAGTCCTTTTTAGGTTGCCTTTTCATAACTAGTCCCAGCCCAGCCTATAACTTCTTCAAGGTATAGTGTCAACCCATCTACTTCCCAATGGGATGCACATGTTCAAGTTCAAAATATAGGCTGTCGTATTTAGTTTATGTCATTGGCCAAATTTGCAACTCTACAACATGAAGTTAACTTTCACGTGGCTTCATTTGCAATCTGCTGTATTGAGTCAGTAGTTGAAACAAGCCAACAATAAGGCAACTGGATTTCACCTTACTATAGAGCTACTAATCACCAATCATGTGGTGTTTTCCAGTTTACTAGCTTTGCTGTATTTTAATACCTCTCATGTTAATAATAATCTCCCAGCCGCCACCACCAATAAACAGCCCTGCTCTCAAGCCTATCCCTAGGGTGTGTATACAAAATCTATTCATCTTATTTGAATTCATTTGAATCAAATACAGACCTCCTATACTGTAGACTGTAGTCATTTTGAATGACAACATAACCCCAACATAAAAAAACAACAAACATACCATCAGAAACTGTGAAAAAATTGATCTAGCAGCATTATCTAATTAGGATTTAATAACATTTAATCCTAATTATTGTCGCAGCATTACTTTATCTTCTTTCACAAAGGTCCAGTTCTCTGCCTTTTCTGTGCTAGCTTTCCTCTTAGAAGTAAATGCCTGCTTGCGAAGTTCAGAAAACCTTATCTTCATCAGATGGGACAGTTCTTTCTCCACTAAGGGCAGACAGAGACAGTAAAGGTCCCAACAAGGTCTGGCCTCATTTGTATGATCCTCTGGCATATCTTTGCAGTGCTATTATACTCATCACTGAATAATGCTGCAGACTTAGGATGAGATTGGCTCTTGCCATAGCATAAATTTTTAAGATTTACTTACTGTTTATCTTAAAGGTTATAAGACATTTAAAAAAAAAAAAAAACATGCAATGGTGTGGAAGAGGCACTTGCCTTAACTCCAAGCTTCAATCTGCAGCACTGATCAGTGATGGGTGTGATGACACCAACAGAGTGCATGCTGAAGTATCACATAAAGGAAGCTGAAGTTCATGAACAAGAAGGAAAAATAAAACATTGTTAAACAGTGAAAATATGTTAGGGTGAAAAATACTGAGGAGCATGGAGAAGCTAGAGGAAAATAGACAACTTAAACTTCTGTCTTTCTCAAAAATTCCTATTTTTATTTGTTTTTCATTATTCTGAAAAGACACTCCAGCTCCTATGACATGGATAAAAGCAAAAGATCCTTTTATTTCCTGTGTAAATTTCAGATTCCAATAATGTTGGTGACAAATTACTCATTAAATTAAAAAATACAACATTTTAACCCGTCAATAGTACTAGCCTTTATCACTTATAGCTTCTCCTTTAATGTAGTAGGGAATGCCGATTTAGGAAAGCATTATGCACTATTTGTTTACACGTAAAACCCGCAAGTATCTAGTGATATGCTGATTAATTTATTATCATTTGCCTCACTGTTTCTTTAAAAAATATAGGTACCTGTGCTACACTGAAGATTCTCACCTTTCCACGTGCCCCTGCAGTATTGCACTCTTTTGAAATTATTTCAATGTGGACTGACTGCCCCCCTGTAAAGGTCTTACAGCCTTTCCCACTTTACAGAGCAATGATAAGTCCTTTACGCACTCTCAATGTAAACAAATTCTGAATAATTATTTTCTATGTTTATTATCATTTTATAAAAAGGAAGGTATTTTTGAAAAATAAGAATCTTTCATTAGCCAAAAATACCATGGTCCTAAAACAGCAGTACTTTGAGAATATCCTTATGTGTGCCACCTTGAGAATGCACACGAGGTAGTGACAGCCTATGCATTTATGGTACTAACCGAGGTTTATTTAATAAACATTTAACACAACCTCTGTTATCAACATGATTTTATAGTTACAGTACTTGACACACTGGAAGACCACAGTTATATAATTTTGACCTATACTGAGGTCTAGTCCAGCAGAAAACAAGTACATAATCATTACTTTAAGAGTATCTCTACTCTTTCTTAATTCTGGATGAGGCTTTTCATTATTAAGCTGAATTTTACACCCACCTGTTAATAAATCATGTCAAAAAAATCCCCAAGCCAAAACCAACCACTGAGATAAAGTGTTGTCATTTTCAGGGCTCACCATATTAATTTACGCCAAAGACACGCAAAAAGAAAACTATCTACGGTAGCACCAGACTCTAAACAATCTGCCACTATAGCAAATATCAGGTAGAGACATCTCCACCAACAAGACAGAACCTCATTACATACATGTTACAGGTATAAACCCAACAATCAAGCTTGTCTGCATCCTAATGATAGTGATAAGCTACCACTAAGAAGATAGACCACTATCTTCTCATAACTGTGCTACTGTTCCAATCAAATTCTGTTGTATTTACATCATCACTGAACTACATAAACTCTGTCTAAATTGCTAATTACTAATGACGGCTTTTTGGACTCTGGTATAGCATTATTCTAAAGCTACTTTTTAATTATAAAGCAGTTTAGAAGATACATATGAAACTGGGCCACCGGTTTCTTTTCCTTCGCGGCCTTCCAATACCTGAAGGGGGCCTACAGGAAAGCTGGGGAAGGACTTTTCCTAAGGACAACTAATGACAAAACAAGGGGAAATGGGTTTAAACTGAAGGAGGGGAGGTTTAGATTAGATATTAGGAAGAAGTTTTTCATTGTGAGGGTGGTGAGACACTGGAACAGGTTGCCCAAGGAAGTTGTGGATGCCCCCTCCCTGGAAGTGTTCAAGGCCAGGCTGGATGAGGCTTTGAGCAACCTGGTCTAGTGGAAGGTGTCCCTGCTGATGGCAGGGGGGTTGGAACTAGATGATCTTTAAGGTCCCTTCCAACCCAAACCATTCTATGATTCTATGATTCTATGATTCTATGATTCTATGAATGTTTTTAAAACAGTCTGGATCCTGCCAGGTGAAGTTTCTCATCTTAGTGCACAAAATCAATGCAAAATTATCCTAGAAACATTTACTTATTGTCTAATGATATATAAAATTAAAGAAATAAATAAATACATAAATAAATAAAGGCTCAATTACTCTGTGCCAGATCACGTCCGTGGAAGTAAGGAAGACATTTCAAATCATATTCATATGGATATTTTTTCCATACTCTTAATTAATGCAAGGCAGATGTAAATCAGTATTTCTCAGTGTATTAGTCCTTCCTTCCTTTTTGCAAAATGTTTAACTTCCAGTCTCCAAAGACACAATTTACATATTTACTGAAGTATAAGGGCTGAAGTTAACACTACAGCTGCTCACAGACGTAAGAATGCCTAATCAAATGAGATCTATAAGAAAGATACAGCAAAGGAAAATGAAAAACCATGTGTCAAATTTAACACTTCAAGGTGCTTATAAAACTACAATTCCTAAAAGCAGTTCCTGACTTTTTTCTATTCTGTGCTGAGTCAAAGCAAAAGAAATCAAGGTCCACAAACTGGAAAATATAAAGTAGCAAATTAATGTAAGAGGTTTACAGATATGCAAAAGGTTTCAATTTACTGCAAAACAGGTAAATTAATACATCCTCTTCAAGTTAAATCCTCTTAATTATAACCACTTTGCCTTCTGAAGTGTACAAACACTTATGTATTTGCATGCAGTATCTTAATCTCAATATGAAAACACTACCAGTCGCTGTACATTCATGGGAATTACTTTCAAGCACATGTAATGAAGCATGAAATAGGAAGTCACAGGTTAAAATGACCTTTCAAAACAGGCATGGTACTGTATATTATAAAAAGAAAGTCTTTCAAATAGCATATAAAATAACCACAAAGAACTACTCACCATGTCATATGCTGTTACAATCTTTTTCAAGACCTCTGGAACAATCCCTTGGAGTTCCATAGTCGGATACTGATCATTGAGATTCAGTACTACCAGGGGGGTATTATCAGGCCCAACCAAGCGTGTAGACACTGCCAGAATGCACTGCATAAGATTTGCTACAGGAGAGAGGCCACATAATTCTTTGAATGAAACTACTGCATTCTGCAAAAAGGAAAGAAAGAGTTTCCTTTATAGTTAAATATGACTTTTAATGTCTCATTCTTTCATAATAAAATCCTTCACTGTTACAGTTTAGCTACAATGTGGAATTACCACAGTTTTTTTCCCTGAAGAGCTGTCAGTTTTCCAAAGCAACCAATACTACACACATATTTTACTAAAAATGTTAAAAATTCAAACAGAATTCAATACTTGTCACAGGAAAAAACAAACAAACAAACAAACAAACAAAAAAACCCCTGTCAGTCAAAAAAAACCTGTTTAGAGCAAGAATGTCTGGTCTCTATCACTACGAAAATGAACCACACAAATAAACTAATTCTAAAACATACTGGTTATATATTTTGAAAAAACCTAGAAGATATTTCAAAGTAATTTTTAAAATACAACAGTGCAAAAAAAACTACTAGGTGCTGAATGTCCCAAATAAGTAAAGTGAAGTGGAAGGAGGAATTCAGCCCATTTGTAACTTTAAACATACCTGAACTACAGTCCAGACGTGCTGTGGATCTGCTGGCTCCCATTTGGTGTGATTCACAAACCCAGCACTCCACTACTGATGCCATTCCTATCACAGAATCACGCTTAAGTGAATTTTTAAGGTACTTTAACATAAATACCAATTTTGTACCTTTCCCTAAAATTTATTATAGTTGTATTTTATATCCAATATAGTAGAATATAAAATCACACATTTAAACTTGAAGAAAATGTCCAGTATTACAACGTGACTCCAAGTAGCCACTGAAATTCCATGATGGGAATATTCTCATATTCATGTAATGAATTTAGGATTTTTGTACCAAGTGGGAGCTGGTGATCTATGGCAGGTCTGGAGTTTGTGTTCCTGTAGGAAATAAAAACAAAAACATGGTATATTTAAGTTACAAATGTGCTCAGTGCTCCTTTCTTTCACACTTTACCCAAGCAGTGTATCTGACACAGATTTTCATTTTAATCAAAATCACTTTCCACTTTACTGGCAAAGTAAGACTCATTTTTGGAAAAATTTATTTAGACAGACATAATGCCAAGCTTAATGCAAACAGGAATGAAATGTGAAATATTTTGCTGTCCCTTTATGAGACAAACTACCCAAAGTAGACTTGAAAATATGTGTATATAGCATATTAATGCAAAATTATGTGAATACCAAATTACATCCAACACAGTCACTTGCAGTGTACTTTCAGTAAATGTTTAGTAACATCTAGTAAATGTCCAAGAAACAGAAACTACTTTTATTAACTGGACTACACCTTAATGACACAATAATTACATGGTTGAAAAGACAGACATAGGGAATTCCATTCAAACAGATTGTGTTTGAGATTAACATCATGGGTAAGCCATTATGAACAACAATTTTACAGAGAGGTTAAGGAGAACCCAATGGAACATACATTTTAACTAATGGAAGGCAGGACTGAACTACAACTGTAACTCTTGCCTTTGGACTTCCAACCCCAGAGATTATCCCTCACACTGTCAAGCAATTTAAACATGTCACATCACATCTAGTTTAATCAATCATGTTATACTTTTATCAGTGATTAATATGTAACAACAAGTTATGACATCAGCTTTTGTCATGATAATATAGTGCCTATCGAGTTAGAAAAAATGCTAGCTATTTGTATACAGATTTAGAGAAACCATTAAACTCACTGCTGCATACTTTCTTTTTTCCGCTTCTTCCATCTTATATTTAAAAAAGTCCAACTTTGTTCTTTATAATCTATCTTGTGGGGACATTATTTCTGTATCATAAAAATCATAACAATTTGTAATGCAAAATTTCAGTAATACAGAAATTAAAACAAATTTCATTCCCTGACATAAGTTTATATTTATTTTAATCAAGTGGTTTATTTACTTTTATTAGCTGCAAAACCTTACTTACTCAGTTTAAATTGTGCACATTACATAATCTGTCACTAAAGCTATGCAAAATGAATATTCCCTCATGTACCCAAAATATCTTGATAGCATTTTGAGAGATGATAACGATTAATTTAGTTGATAGCACAACTTTCAAACTGACAGAATAAAATACATTAAATACCTTTTAATATCTCACATTCAAAGAAACCACACTGTAGAGCCCATATTCAATTATAACAGTTATGGAAAATACTGCAGCACGCATAGTAAAGAGTTTAAAGCAGCTACAAAAACTCTACGTTTTCACTGTTTCCTCAAACCTTCGGTTCAGCTCTTCCTTTAAACAGATCTTAAAACACAGTATCTTTCATATGACAGAATTCTAGCCTTCAATAGGTTAACTACAGGTAAAGTTCACTTTATATGTAGGCCATAATGTGAAACATTTATGAGTGAAAGTACCATCCTTGCATTTTTTTTTAATAATCTTTTAGTGCAGCAATTTTATATACCAAGTGGAATGGGAGAGCTTCAAAATGCTGTACTAATTTCTTATTTCATACAAAAAAAAATAAGTTTTAAAACTGTATTCCTATTAAAATCTCTTCAACATATGATTATTAATATATTAAGAAAATTTATCTACGCTGATATGCCTTTAAAATCCAGAATCAAATTTCAGACATTTCCTATAATCAGTTTCCCCTTAACATTACATAGGAGGATTTAAGAGGTCACTCATTTGAAATTACGCTTGATTTTATTGATCACTGCTAGTATTCCATCAGAAGTTTAAAGGTAGTTAAAAGATTAATTAAATAAAACACAACTTCACAACTCACTTTAATCTACGCCTAAAAGGGCTTATTTATCCGGATTCTTTATTAGAATCTCCAAACAAGGCATTTTTTAAGTGGGATCTCTTGGCTTCCACAAAAAACAAGCACCTCAACCTGTACTTTTTCCTGATATTCAACGTGTTTATTATATGTGACCTTTAAGGCAAGGTAATTTCTTCTAGAGGATGTTTTCTAGTACCTTAGTGCTAATTCCATGTATTTCTAACATACTGTTGCTAGGAAGAATCATGGAGAGCAAATGGTCTTTCTGAAAGTACTGCCTGCTATTTGGGAATGAGGAAAAAACAAAACCTCAGTGAAACTATACTAAACATACATTCATGTATAAGAAGTTTTCTCATAAGCATTAAAGTCTCCTTTTTCTATCAGCTGTATTTTCCTCTTGCATTTCTATTTAACTTGATTTTCTAAAACTAAAATATTGCCATACTTTTCTCTAGTGCATATCTAACATTCCTTCAAAGACATAGGACGAGTCAACAGGCTTGAGTTCTAACACAGGAGTCACATTTCCTGCTCACATTCAACAAAACAAGCATACACATTCCAAGGTTACCTCAACAGACAGTATTACCTAAGAGGCTGCTCTCACACAATCGATTTTTAAAGCCTTTCAGCATTAGACTCCAATAACATAACTTGCAAATAAGCATAATACAAAAATACACACAAGAACTAATAAATTCATTGTAAAAACCGTACCTGCATGTTTTCTCTCAAATCCGTGGCATCCCGAATAGGTTGGAGAGCATTCTTGAACACTTCATCTATTGTTTTAATCCACAATGTTCTCATAGAAGCATATTCCCTTGATTTCTTGCCTTTCCTTACAGAGAGGCCCCGTTTATGAGGTTTCCCACCACCCCTTCGATTAGTAATGGCCACGTGCACAAACAAAGAAGCATGTGCTAAAATTTCACCAGTTAAAGACTGCAGAGGAACGTGCCGATAACCAGTCTGTAGACACTCAAAGGGAATAGTGTATTGCCCGATAAACTCATCCCCAATGTAATCATCATCCAGTACTACAAAACGCACCATAGCTAGTTCTGGTAAATTTATTTGAAATTCAAAGCTTTCATCAAAAATTGGATTATCCCCATTCTGATGCATAGTTTTTGTCCTTTGCTCTGCACAGTCAGCAGGGATTCCATGTATTTCAACATAGACATAAGGATCCACAACATCACCTTTGGCACCTGATCCTTTGGGTTTAGGAAAGTTTTGCCCACTAATGATTTTAATATGAAGCAGCTGAGGTGAAACTCCAGGCACAGTGTCTTTTGTGTTCGCACTAAAGAAGGATACTTCTTCTCTCATGATAGCAGGACGAAGGACATAGCCACAGTTCCCATTTTGTCGAAACCAACCGATGTTAAGATCCATCATTAAGCCAGGCGTTTGAAAGTTCATTGCTACTATCTGACAACCACATTTCCAAAAGTCCTGGGGATTCATATTACTAGAATCAATCCTCATAGGACTGGGGAAAACTCTCGCAAGAAAACGTTTGTTATAATTTACAAAGTCTCCTGGGTTTTCGTTGGCATACTTGCTAGCAAGCACTTCGTTAAACGAGCACACTTCCCAGTACTTCTGGAGCTGAAATGAAACTTGAAACTCTTTGAACTGAACTGATTTACATATGCTCACCAACTCAGAGAGGTCTTTGCAGAGCTGAAATCGTTTCCCCGTCATTAAGTTTTGCTGTTCTACGCCCTCTTTCCCCACTCTCTGTGACATTTCTGCTCCTTCATCTTCATCTGTAACATCTCCCTCTAGTCCAGAACAATTAGAGGAAAGCTTCTTTGCTTTAATTAGTATTTTCCCTTTAAGTGATTCCGGAGATGGGAGATAAGACTGTTCAATGTTTGGAGACTGTGTATGTAGTTTGTCCCCTAGAATTTTCTTCATGTGCTGTACCATCACTTTCTGCTGCTTAATAGAACAATGATTTTCTAAACATAAAATAAGAGGGTATTCTGAAGCAAAAAATGCATACTTGTTAATAATGTCAATTACACTACGGAAGACAATCTGTGATGTCATTGTATGTCCTGTGTAAATCACAGGCTCGTTATCTGGACCATCCCACACATCCAGTTCAACACTTCGACAACCCATTTTAAGAGCGCGAATGTAGCCTGTGATGTCAGAAGGCCCTCGAAACTGATCCTCTATCAAGTACGTATTATGAGATGAATTTATAAAATAATGAGATAAAGGTTGTTTCATATCTTGACAAACTTTTTTATGTTCTGGATCAAATATGTGGCAGTCTGGTGAAGTAAGGTAATTCGTAAACCCATCTATAGAAAGACAACCCTTTTCCTGGCCCTCTTTGGCTGGCTCGTATTTCTGAATAATTTCAAGGCTTATTTCTTCTGTGACATGTGCCATACCCTGTTCTGCTTCTAAAAACATCATGAGGTCCTTGGTATCTAGGAACTCTTTATTGCTTGAAAACTGAACCAACAGGAAGTAGATTTCAGGTCTGGTACAAAGCTCATGAAAAACTTCAATAAACTCTTCTTTTGTTACTTCAGTACCAGTTTTTTCCTTGGATCTATGTAGCTCCTTGAATTTTAGTTCAATTTTATTATTTTTTAAACCAGGATTTAAGTCTTTTATAAACTGTACAGCATTACACAGAGGTATATGTCCCAAATTATCTACATCTGATTCACTGAACATCTGTGAAAGCCATGAAGTCCGCATATTATCTTGAGAACTTTCTATCATATCTAGAGTGTGTTTTCCGTAAGAAATCAGGTATCTTAAGCCAGTAACCCAAATATTTGCAATGTCTGCTGAGTTAGCAACAAGATCTAGTGACTCGTAGTTTTCTCCATATATAATTGAAAAAGCACAGTCTTCTGATATCTGGTCATATATTCCATTGCTGCGAAAAATATCCGTATTTTTTCCTGTTCTTACTTCCTTGATTGATTTAACATCAATCTTTGCTTTTTCAGAATCCTTTTTTGAAGGTTCCCAACGTAGAGACTGCATATCTGCATCTAAAAGAAAATATCGGTGATAGACCCTAGAGTTGGATCGAATCTTTTTGAGCTCAGAGCCTTCAACCATCGCGTTTATACAGTCACTTGCGCTGCTGATCTTTTTCTCAGTTGGCATACTGCTAAATGACACAGTCTTTTTCCGTTCTCGCTTTTGTTTCGTACCATCCTGGTAAACAAGGAAGGGAAAAAAGAAAACATGTATCAGTATGATTTTGCTCAACATTGAAATAGGTTTCAACTTACAGTTGAAAGTTCATAAAGTAGTTCAAAAAGGTCTAACATCTGTATGATGATCAGTAAGATAGAAATTCTTATTGGAAGTATCACAAATGATACTACTAATAATGGTTTAATATTTGTTCTTGTCTATATAAGTAATCTTCCAGGGTCTTTAAAAAAAACCAAACTGTATGAACATAGAATTAAACAAAGCAAGTTTTGAATGATAATGAAATAATAATGCTGTATAAATGCATTTTATTTTATCAGTAATAACCTACTTACAGAGACAATCGGTGCTACAGCCAAGGCAGTAGGAAGTAAGCTTTCCTGAGTCCTACAGATACTTGCTGAACTTTGTCAGCACATAATATAATGCTCTAATACCATGCCAACACGGTCCTCATGAACACCAGAGAAACATTAATACACAATTAACTACATAAAATCCATAGGACAGGATCCTAATCCAAGTATACAAGATATTAACAGCACTTACTACAAATAGCTCCCTTCTCTACTGCACCTATCCATGTTCTTTCCATGGACTGCCCAGAGCACTGACACCTGTACTAGGAAGACATCCATGTTAGTCTTAAGAAGCTACACTGAAACACAAGCATTTAGGCCAAAGCAGATATAACTCACTGCAAGTTCTGAGTTTCAGGAAATATGACAATGACTTAGGAGGGAACTGTCTGAGAACATTAAAGTTTAACTGGTTCCAAAGAAGCTGCAGACCATTAGAAAGAACTTGAATTAAAAATGCAAGACCTAGTGAGGAAAGGCAAACTGACTAGGTCTGCTGCTTAGTCAGTCTGACCTCTACTTCCTGAAAGGAGGGTGTAGAGAGGTGGGGGTCAGTCTGTTCAATGAAGTAACAAGTGGTAGGACATGAGGAAATGGCCTCAAGTTGCACCAAGGGCAGTTTAGATTGGATAGGAGGAAGAATTTCTTTACTGAAAGGGTTCTCAGGCACTGGAAGGCGTTGCCCAGGGCAGTGGTGGAGTCCCCACCCCTAGAGGGACTGAAGAGTCATCTAGACCTAGTGCTGAGGGACATGGTTTAGTTGGGGACCTGTCAGTGTTTAGTTAATGACTGGACTTAATGATCTTAAAGGTCTTTTCCAACCTAGGCAATTCTGTGATTTTGTGAAGGGCAGCAAAAGTGATTCACCTTTGCCCTTAGAAAAATGAAATAAGCCAGAGGTATTTGTTTACTAGAGAAAGCTGGGGTAGAAAACCAGGTATACAAGACATGGGGTAGAAAATCGGGGGGGAGGGAGAAAGAGAAAGAGAGAAAGAGAGAAAGAGAGAAAGAGAGAAAGAGAGAAAGAGAGAAAGAGAGAAAGAGAGAAAGAGAGAAAGAGAGAAAGAGAGAAAGAGAGAAAGAGAGAAAGAGAGAAAGAGAGAAAGAGAGAAAGAGAGAAAGAGAGAAAGAGAAAGAGAGAGAAAGAGAGAGAAAGAGAGAGAAAGAGAGAGAAAGAGAGAGAAAGAGAGAGAAAGAGAGAAAGAGAGAGAAAGAGAGAAAGAGAGAGAAAGAGAGAAAGAGAGAAAGAGAGAAAGAGAGAAAGAGAGAAAGAATGTCATTTAGCTACCTCTGTTTGCTCTTTGTATTAATTCAAACAAGTGCAAATAATCGTCTACAGATGACTTAAGTATAATCAATTTCATGACAAAGAACTGAATTTGAGAAAGCTGTGTGCTTTCATTATCTGTATTTTCCAAGACTGAAAAAACGCTGTGGTTTTGTTGGTTTTTTTTTTTTAAAGTGTCACGTGTCTTGATAAGCTACTTTGGGTCCAAAATGATACCTTTATTAAATAATCTTTTTATGTTACAGATCCTATTTAGAAGTGTTGTTCTTATACTTCATCACGGCTCAAAAAATTACTTTTCCAGCCCTATACAAAAAGAATTTTGATTTTCCCTCTAATAGTCTTCCACTTGAAGTATGTCCCAGTGCAAATCAGCATTGCTTATAAAGCAGAAAGGAGAGAGAAAGAAAACTTTTAACGATTGCTATGCTGAACAGATGTTCAAATAAAACCCATCCATTACAGAATGCATTTCCAGTTCAGGGCATATGTGCTTATGTTTAATTTCATTAAATTAAAAATGCAGAATTCTGTTTTTGTAATTTAATTTATAAGCACTCCAAAAGCCTTTCACTGAAAACAATGATTAGTAAAGCAAGCAGACTTAATATTTACTGTTCCATGTTTTAGAAAATTAATTAAACATACAATTCTTGCACCTTTAATGGCAGGAGAATTTGCTTTACACAAGTTCTCAAGAGACCAGTAAAAGTGAATAAACCTACAGAGGACTGTTTTATTTCTAACTCCAGATGAAACACCTGCAATGGATACTGCACAGGATTGACTCTTGGAATCTCATTACACTTATTCTGGGCATGAGGACTGCTTTCTAACAAAAGCAAATTTCTTTAATTTAAACAAACAATAAATTACAAATGTGATTTTGTTTACAAAGATTTGTGTTCTATTTTAAGCCTAGTTTCTTGTCTGGCTACCTGTGTTATCTACATCGCCTAACCTGAAAAAGTGGCAAGGGACAGCCCCACAGAAATGAGCAATGACATTCCCGTCCAGCATTTTAGGGCTTGGAATGAAGCATGCTGAAACTCCTTAAGGCTCCAGATTTCTCAGTCACAGATCTAGGAGGGAAATATTTCTTGAACACTCGAGTGGAAGACAGTTGGTGGAAAACCTCCTGACACCAGCACCATCAATGCCTGGGAAGTATTACCTTGCCTGACCATGATCAGTATTTACAGAAGGAAGGTCTATGCCCTTCTCTATGATCAGGATTGGGCCTGATCCAAGACACTGAATGGCAATGGAGAAAAAAATCTGCCACTTCTTGGTGTCATCAGATGTAAATAGACCCATCTCAAGGTAACCCCATTCCCAACTCTATTTACTGAACTGGAGTTTACACATGCTGATCAGAGGAATAATTCAATCTACCACCTGCAAGACAATTTTGCTTGTCTGCCAAATGAACCTGAAGCCAGTTCAATAGCATTCTGCATTTCTGCAGGGTAAAGCAATCTCACCATTTGGTTTATTCATACGAAACCTGCTGGTGGTAGACATCACTGTCTGAATGTGACGACCATGAAGACAAACTTCAAAATACTCTTGTGAGTTTCTCACAGCTTGGAACTCCAGAACATCCCAAGTTTTTGCTTCTCCAGAGATCAATGATCCTGAGCTAGCAGATTGCCTGTGCAAGTCCCCAACCTGACAGAGACATAGCAGTCACGACCAAGCTGCATAAAATGGATAAAAAAGAACGTGAAGAATATTTTCCCAAAGACACTGGCCAGAATTATCCACCTGTCTAAAAAGAAACAGAAAAGAAACTCTCACTCATAAGCAGAGAATGTAATTGCATAGAGTGTGCACAAACTGTATGAAACAGGTTTGTGAGCCTCAAGAGATACAGTCTGGCACGGAGAAGGAAGCAGATATGCTACATGATGTGGAAGATTTCACCCTGGAAATGGAGTGGCTTTCATGAACATGGGTCAAGTCTCTCATGGCCTTAAGTCTCTTTTGAATCAAAAATACTGGTGCATCAGAAAACTGGATGGATCTGAACAAATACAGGAGTGACTTCTCAGCATTCGTGAGACTTACAGTGTTCTTGACACTGTTCAAGATGCTCAAAATGAGACTGGCTCTACAGTGCAGATGCAAAATTCTGTCCACAGGAGAAGCTACAATTCTTTGCCGAAATAAATAAGAATGACCACCTCATCAAGACATTTCCTAAACCCATCTGTGCCACATCCAAGGTCACCTGCAAGGAGTTTTGAGAAGCAGACCAGACCACAGATTAAACTGTTGCAAAACTTTGCTAATATCTGCTACAGGTGACAAGACAGAGAGTTTCATTTATCCAGGAGTTCGTAGCCACATGAATAAATAAATAATCCTAGCTGACACCTATGGCACTTAAGAGACAGAGAGAGCTGGAGAAAATGGCTTAAAAGGGAAGAGTATTTCCATTATAACTTTTTTTTTTTATTCCTCCCAAAGTACAGACAAATAAATGGTTGTGTGACTAAGACAGCACCAGCTACAAAACAGAATACTGGAGACAACAAAGCATCTTGAATCGGATGCTAGGAGATAAGCACATCATTCCTGAACGGCAAAGCTTTTAATACATGTAACTTTATAATTAAATTATTTAAAGAGCAGTTCAAATAACCATGGGTACTGACAGGGACAGTGGTGGATTTCTGAGATTTTATAACAAAATATATCAGGATGGTAGAGGACACAATGAATAGTGCAAGGTTTGTAAATATCTACTACAGGAAAGGATGCAGAGAGCGAAGGCTACAGCCTGTAAATGCCCAAATGAACCATCACTCGGAGACACCGTGGAGGAAGCAGTACTTCAAAAGGCATTCAGTCCCAGAGGTACCAAGAGTGCAGTGGAATCTAGAACACTTTGGGAAGAAACATACAGCCCAAGGCAGGGACCTGCCACCCCCTCGAGGTGGGAAGTGAGGGACTGCAACAAGAGCGCTGTAAGGGACAGTCTTTCCGTCTGCCAATACAGAATGGTCTCCACGCTCACCAATGCAAACCTGGGACATGGGTGTCTGCGATCCTGCCTCTCTCCAGGACTAAAGCAGCTACCTGCAGCTTTGATGCAGTAGCTGTGCTAACTGGGATTTGAAGATTAAGGCCTCTATCTGCATTGAGACCACTAAGGTACTCCTTTTGGGACAGAGGACTTTACAAAGAAAAGACAATGGTAACAAGAGGAAGTGGCAAAGTTACACATTTTTAGGGCATTCATCTGGGAAGTGAAAGTCCCTGATGTCATTACTGCATAAACATTTCATTTGGTGACCCTGAATGCAGAACCTACAAATAGTCCATGCAGCAGGGACCTGAAC